TTGGTATCTTCTGTGAGAATTACAACTGGTTTGAACATTAGCACGTTCTTCGCAAAGTCTAGAAGTTTCAAAAGAGGTTATGATCTGGGTAATAACCAAGGGTCAATCAATGTGACAATGTGACATGAGTGTAGGTAAGGGGCACAATTTAAGGTTAGGCACGGTGCCCAGGGCAAGTCACTCATGTTTCAGTTTTCTTATCCCCAAACTGGTGTCTTCCAGAGCCCTTGTGAGTCTCAGGTCTGATTCTAAGTGACAGTTAAAGAGTGTGTAAGGTTCCAGGTTTGGCATTCATAATGCCCCTGGGATTTTCTAGCTATTGTTTCTACCTATTGTTCCCTGCTCTAAATCTTGGTTTCTCCAGGAGAAGCAGGGGAAAGAAAAGGAAGCATAATGCAAAACTACACATTGATGCTTCAAGAAAAATATGGTAGCCATGTAGTCAAGGGGAGTTACTGGGAACTTGTAGAAAGGGTGGGGGACTTGGGGTAGGTTGGGGCGCTCAAGTCACTCTTCCACTATTTGTTAGTGTAAGGAAGAAAAGTCATTTAATCTCTTTGGTCTCCAATTCTCTCATTTTTTTAAAAAAATATTTTCTTATTCTTTGTACATTTTTTTGTGCTATTTTTAAAATTTGTTTATTTATTTATTTATTTGGCCGCGTTGGGTCTTTGTTGCTGCGCGCAGGCTTTCTCTAGTTGTGGCAAGCAGGGGCTACTCTTCGTTGCAGTACACGGGCTTGTCATTGTGGTGGCTTCTCTTGATGAGGAGCACAGGCTCTAGGCACGCAGGCTTCAGTAGTTGTGGCTCGTGGGCTCAGTGGTTGTGGCTCATGGGCTCTAGAGCACAGGCTCAGTAGTTGTGGCACACGGGCTTAGTTGTTCCGCAGCATGTGGGATCTTCCCAGACCAGGGCTCGAACCCGTGTCCCCTGCATTGGCAGGCAGAGATTCTTAACCACTGCACCACCAGGGAAGTCCCTCCAATTCCCTCATTTTAAAAATGAGGATAATAATTTCTACTTCTCAGAGTTACTGTAAAGTGGTATAGAGAATGCTATGCTGAACGGTATCATATGGGCTGGATTTTAATCTGTTTAGAATCAGACAATCTGATGCCTACCATTACCACAGAGGGTTGAGGGGCCCATCACCCAAGAACTGTGCTGTGTTGTTCTCTGGTTTCTGGAAGTTATTCATTTCTACTTATCAAGTATAACAAAATATTTCTTTTTTACTCCAATCTTACTCAAAAGAAAGGATGGCACCCTGATTTCCATATACCACATTCCCTGTAAACATCTTCCTTATTTCATCCTAATTCCTTAGAAAGGGATCCTCAGGTCACACACTGGGCTGTCTGATATTTATATGTGACTTTTTAGTGCAGTGGTTGTGACCTTTGTTGAACCACAGAGTTCTCTGAGAATCTGATAAAAGCTAGGGTCCTTCTCAGCAAAAAAAAAAAAAAAAAAATTTCATCTGCGCCTAATTTTGCATATAATTTGAGATCATCCAAAACTCTGTTGAAACCTATTCATGGACAGAGGCTAAAAACCCTTGCCTAATGGTTGTGAAGTGGTCATGAGTACCATTTCTCCTTTCATCTCTAATAGTATTTGTGAATTACTAACATAAAACAATAGTCTTGTATCATTTTGTTTTCCTGAATTACTTTCTTTAATTTAGTTTTTTTTTTCACACTGTGACTAAGAACTAAAGCATTTAGAATAAGCCTTCCAGAATTTATTTTATAACCCTTGGCTCAGAATGCAATTGGTAAACCAATCTGAGCTAAAAACCACACTGACTCTGAACAAGCCATTGTTCTTAAGTCTTAACTGAGGTCAGCCAAGTCCTGAGCACGTATAAATCTCCATAGTTTCCACTTTACTACTGGACATCTAACTACAAAGCAGAGGCTAAAAATAGATCAAGCCTAGTGTTCATATACACTCCACAGAATTGCATTTCCAACCCCACATGAGTTTTAATTAACAACACTCTTCGCAACCAAAGAGGGACTTCATTTAGCAGGGGAAATATTGATCCACTTTGAAAAAGTTAAAATACAACCTGAAGGAATTATGAAGATTTTGAAATGTTCAAAGAATATCATTTGCTCCTGTTAGCTCTGGGTCTAAAATAAGAAAAACTAAAATATGCCTCGGATTAGGTTAGCTTTCTTTTCTTTTACATTGCATTACACAAAGGAGAAAATATTGACATCCTCTTCCCTTTCTTGTTTCTAAGTCTACATTTCTACTAAGTGGAGTTGTTCAAACATAGCAAGCCATTAATAAATACCTACTTACCTACATAAATACTTATAGAGCAAGAAGGAAGATGTGAGGTCGAGTATAGAAAAATAATTACAGTTCTACTGCCTACAGAAAGTTTATTATCTGAGGCTCTTTATAGTTAAAATGGCTGTCTTCCAAAGATAATATAGAGCAAATGTTTTCTGGATAAAATATAAAGATTCTCAAAATTTCAATTACTAATGTTAGATATAATTTATCAGATTGTAAATAAATATGAATATTGCATCTGTGGTTAAAAAAAGAATTTGTATAAAATTAAAATAATTTTAACAAAATTTAGCAATAGAGTTTAAGAAGTAAAACTCTTTGAATTACAGATTCATAAAACTCTGTAGCCTCTACAGTATTGGGGGAATGAAATAAGTACACAAGGAGTTACCTTAACAACTGTATGGTAATAAAAATACCCACTTTCTACATTTTCTATAGACTTGGCACAGACAGACCAGGAAAATGGATATTTAAAACATAATCCTCTCTATTACAGGACAGCTGTTTCCTAAATGAGGTTCTTAAACATATGTATAGGACATTCTTCAGGAGAACACAATGATACTGTCACATAGCATGGTGCTCATTCCTATTTCCTTTGGAAGGTAGGTATTTGAAACAAGAGCTAAAAGAAGTGAGTTCACCTCCTCACTGACAATATTTCCATATGTGCAGCTAATCTGAGGTCCTTATGAATATCCCCTGGCACACATGACCCATGAAAGTGAGATTGCAAAACAATCCTGTTCCATTTTAAGTGGAATTTCAGAACGTTGCCATCACACATTCCAGGTAAACTCCAGAGACTCTGGTACTGAACATGCAGAAGCTCCCAGGAGGTCAATGTCAGTGCCCAGGAATCACAGCCGTGGATCAGGTACTGCTTAAACCCACAGGGATTCAGGCGTTTCTGCCTTCAGAAACTGTCCTTACATACAAGCCACCATATTATTTCCTCAGTAACTTTTTTAATTCCCAGAAATAAACACCTTTTCCAGTTGCCCTAACAGGTATTTTGTGGACTTAAATTTTGTAAGACAAAATTACATCTGTTTAGAACAAATAATGCAACCTATGCCAGATGGAGGAGGTTTGAGGCAGCAGGTGATTACTGATCACATAGCCCAGGAATTTTTATGTTTTGAAGTTCAGCAATTCTTTCTGTGGACTATAGATAGATGTCTAATAAAATCACATGAATCTTGCAAGTGTGTTTTAATCCCCATGACACATTTTGCTCTGGATATGGAGAAAATAAAAATTGGCTTGGACTGAGAAATTATCTGCCCAGCATTTATCAGGCTGGAACAACAAACACAGAGAAACCAAGCTCAAGGTTCACAGGAAATGTGTCTCCCGGGGACGCTGCTGCAGTAGAGGGTTGTGATAACTTTCTCTTTGAGTGACTACAGGCTCACCGAGAAACTTTCTTCTCTAATATCAAACATTATCAGTAGGCTTGCTGTTTGAAATTTTATCAGGAAGAATGAGGTATTGCCTTCTTGTGTGGAGGAGTTGCTGTTGACAGAGAAGCAGCCTCAGTTCCCAGCCTAGGTGCTGAGCTCCACATAAAAGGTTTCTAGATACAACAGTCCTCATTTATCTCAACTTGACTGTTTCCAAAGCAGCAGGACACTGGATTCATTTTTCAGACCAGACCTACATCTAAACTCCACGCTTCCTAGAATCCTACTGAAACTCTCTTTTCCTCTGGTGTGTGGATTCCCTCATTGCAATGGGTTAAATCTAATTTTGTCAGAGTACCAGTTTGCTCCTGGTATTCTTAGGCTGACTGAGATAGGGCCATGTTTTTATAAAATGCCCTGGCTAAAGAAAATATTTGCTGCTTGAATAATAGCTCGGAATTTTAACCTTGGCTTTCATATATTGAAAGAATAGAACACATCTCTGCTGTAGTTTGGGATCCTGTGGTCTGTGAATTTCAAATTCTATTCTCATCTATGACTTCCCTGGTGGCACAGTGGTTAAGAATCCGCCTGCCAATGCAGGAGACACGGGTTTGATCCCTGGTCAGGGAGGATCCCACATGCCACGGAGCAACTAAGCCCGTGAGCCACAGCTACTGAAGCCTGAGCACCTAGAGCCCGTGCTCTGAAACAAGAGAAGCCACCACAATGAGAAGCCTGTGCACCACAACGAAGAATAGCCCCTGCTCGCTGCAGCTAGAGAAAGCCTGTGCGCAGCAATGAAGGCCCAACACAGCCAAAAATAAATAAATAAAATAAATAAATTAAAAATAAATAAATAAAATTGGAAGTTAAGACTCTGCATGAGCATTTCTTTAAAAAAAAAAATTCTATTCTCATCTAAGTTGAAATGTTCTCAGGACGAGGAAACCTGCTGTGAGTATTGAAATGAGGTTTCCTGGCTCTGCTGCTGCTGAATATTGAACACGACTTGCGGCAAAACATCTCTGCTTCTAGCAATATCACAGATGGCAATTCAAGCAAGACATCCCAGGGTGGCTGTGAAGCTTTTTGTGAAACTCAGAGAAGGAAGGTAAAGGGAAATCGTAGACATAAGTCCCAGGCCTCCCAAAACATGGCCTTGCTCCATACCTGGTTTAAAGGTAGGACTGCCAGTAAGAAGATAAGAAAATGTGACATGGGGAAGTTATTCAGAGAATGTGGCTTTGCCCTAAATTTGTAAGGCTGCTTTGGACATACCCGTGGGAGAAGCCATAGTCGTAGGCTGAGGCAGCCTTCTGACTGACAGCAGATGAGAGGGCAAACTCGGAGGCCCGGGAAGCCTGCTGCTGGTAGGACGTGGCAGATGCCTGGCTGATGGCCTCGGACTTCTGGCGGTGGGCAGCGGAGGAGCGGCTGCTGTAGGCAGTGGAGCCGTGGGTGTAGATGGCCGAGCTTTTCTTCTCCTGCTGGTACTGGCTCATGGTGGTGCGAAGGTTTTTGTTGTGGTAGCTGCGATCATAGTGCTCGTGAAGTTTCTGATAAAAAGGCAGAGACATCATGTGCCCCCGGGGAACCAGGCAATCTACAAGAAAGCAACAGTTTGGGGGTGAACTATTAAGGAACAAACCCAACAGAACAAGTCATCTAAACCAACATGTAAAAATTAATACTCTTTTATCTGTTCCAAAGAGTAAGTGGAAACTGATGTGAAGGTTAGTTTAGCTGGTTACTCAATAACTTCCTTGCTTCATAGCCCAGATGTACCCCCTCCTATCATTGTACTGTCTTCTCCTTTTTTTAAATACCCAGGAGATCTTTACAAAGTTTCCCTATTGTGCTTTTTCCTTAGACCTTTCATAGCATATATTTCTAATTTTTTGGCATTTCATTCTGACAGGGGCTTCATCTGAGAGAATATGTAATGATGGAGAGTCTGCGTCCAGCCAACGTGGTTTTCATTCAACAAATAATTACTGAGAACCTATTCTGAGCCTGGTACTATTCCAGCACAGGAAATACAGAGATGAACAAAACAAACAAAATCCCTGCTCTGATAAGCCTATATACAACCTTATGATCTATTGCAAGAGACAGACAAATAGAGAAAATAAAGTGTAAAGTATATTAGAACCTGCTAAATGCTATAGAGAAAAATAAAACAGGAAAGTGGGATGGGATGCAATTTAAACAGCATCATTAGGGATGATGATGACTGAGCACGAAAGTGACATCTGAGCATGAGAATATCTGGGGGGAAGTATCCTGGTTGGAAGACCATTGCAAAGCCACTGGGGTGTGAGCCTGCCTGTTGTACTCCAGGAATGGCAAATAGGCCAGTGAGGTTGCACGGAGTGAGGGAGGTGCAGGAAGAGGTATAGAAGATGATGTCAGAGAGGTGGAGGGTGGGGAGGGCAGATAGTGTAGTGTCCTGTAGGTGACTGTAAGGACTTTCGATTCTATTCTGAAAGGGCTAAGGAGTCACTGGAAGGTTCTGAGCTGAGAATCACTCTTGCTGAGTCTGAGAATAGACTGTTGAGAGACAAGAGTGAAAGCCAGGAGACCAATTAGAAGGCTGTTATGGGCTGAGTTGTATCCCCCCCCAAATTCATATATAAACGTCCTAACCTTCAGTACTTCAGAATGTGACTGTATTTGGAGATAAGATCTTTACAGAAGAAGTGAGGTTAAACTGAGGTCATTAGGATAGGTTCTAATCCAATATGACATGATTGGCATCCCTATAAGGAGAGGAAATTAGGACACAGATATGTACATATACAGAGGGAAGACTGTGTGAAGACAGAAGAAGATGACCATCTACAAGCCAGGAGAGAGGCCTCAGAAAAACCAGCCCAGCTGACACCTTGATCTCAGATTTCTAATCTCCAGAATCATGAGAAGATAAGTTTCTGTTGTTTAAGCCACCCAGTCTATGGTACTTCGTTATGGCAGCCCTAGCAAATTAATATAAAGGCCACTGCAATAGCCCAGGCCAGAGATTATAGTGGTAGCAGTGGAAGTGTGAGAAGTGATCAGACTCTGCATGCTTTGCAGGCAGAAGCAATAGCATTTGCTGAAAGTTCTGGATTAGGGTGTGAAAGAAAGAGAGGAATGAGAGATGGCTCCAAGGATTTTGCTTGAGTAATTGGAAGACTAAAACTGCTATTAACTGAGATGAGCCAGGAGTGTAAGAAAAGAGCAGTTCAGAATGGAAGAACAGGAGACTGGTTTGAGACATTCTACATTTGAGATACCTGCTAGACACCCAAGTGGAGAGATTAAGTGATTAATCTTAAACTTAATTAAGAGATTAAGTTGGATATTTGACTCTGGAATACAGGGTAAAGGTTCAGGATGGAGACCTACATTTAGGACTCACCAGCATTTAGATGCTATTCAATGCTGAAAAGAAAATAGATGAGAATGAAAGTCCTAGGACTGAACCCTGGAGGATGCTTATACTGTCATATAACAAGCTCTCTTGAATTTCACAAATACTTCAAAAAGGTATAGTGTCAAGGCAGAAAAATTCCATTAAGAATATGAAGGCTTCTAGTCTTCCTACATAAGGCAGCAAGAAAGTCAATCATCAGTGTAGCAGTTTGCATTGTGAACATGACCTAACAGTCCTACTGAAAGTCAAAAATAGGTTTGCTTAGCATAGAGAGGAGAGACTTCAGACTGCATTATCTTTCTTGAAAAATCTGTCCACTGACAGAAGCGTATCAGCCATATTGACAGCCCTGGATGAAGTAGTGGTTTTATGGAAGCCCCCTCTTACATTTTTTTTAAATTAATTAATTTATTTATTTTTGGCTGCATTGGGTCTTCGGTGCGGTGCGCGGGCTTCTCATCGAGGCGGCTTCTCTTGCTGCAGAGCACTGGCTCTGCAGCAAGAGAACTGGCTCTAGGCGCGCAGGCTTCCCTGTGCCACCAGGGAAGCCCCCCTCTTCCATTTTTAATGCTTTTGTGCATGTCCTAAATTTTTTACAAGTGAAATTAGTTGTAATAAATTTTTCAAATCTTTTAAAAAAATTCTAAATGAGGACTGAATCCTTCTAAACTTGCCACATTTTCTGTCAAGTTTAAATCTACTTTTTAGGACTTCCCTGGTGGCGCAGTGGTTAAGAATCTGCCTGCCAATGCAGGGGACACGGGGTCGATCCCTGGTCCAGGAAGATCCCACATGCCACACAGCAACTAAGCCCGTGTGCCACAACTACTGAGCCTGCGCTCTAGAGCCCCTGAGACGCAACTACTGAGCCCACGTGCCATAACTACTGAAGCCTGTGCGCCTAGAGCCAGTGCTCTGCAGCAAGAGAAGCCACAGCAATGAGAAGTCCGTGCACCACAACAAAGAGTAGCCTCTGCTCGATGCAACTAGAGAAAGCTCGCGCACAGCAACGAAGACGCAATGCAGCCAAAAATAAATAAATAAATAAATTCAAAAAATAAATCTACTTTTTAGAAAGCCTTTTAAAGTACAAGACAAGCTTGCTCTTCAATTCAGTTCCATTAAAAACAATGAGATAAATATAAAAACAGTTTCTAAGATGAACTGAAAAGCTGTTTCCCTTTTATTATTACTTTATGTTTCCTTGACATTAGTCCTGCCGATTTCCAGGCCAAACCTCAGACTTAATAAATGAGGATCTTTGGTGAGAGCGGGAGCAGAAGACTGAATTCTACACAATTTCTCAAAGTGTTTCCAATGTACACTGAAGTTTGAGAAATGCTTGGCTTAGAAGATAGGAGTGATTTTAAGGACAGGTAGAGAATAATATTTCAATGGATTTTAAATGACTAGTGTAGAGAAGTTTTCAATTTTTTGTATTTTTATTTCAACACCTAATAAAAATTTTCACCTCTTAAAAATTTTTTTTAAAAAATCTACTTTTTTTAAACATCTTTATTGGAGTATAATTGCTTTACAATGGTGTGCTAGTTGCTGCTGTATCACAAAGTGAATCAGCTATACATTTACATATACCCCCATATCTCCTCCCTCTTGTGTCTCCCTCCCACCCTCCCTATCCCACCCCTCTAGGTGGTCACAGAGCACTGAGCTGATCTCCCTGTGCTATGCAGCTGCTTCCCACTAGCTATCTGTTTTACATTTGGTAGTATATATAAGTCCATGCCACTCTCTCACTTTGTCCCAGCTTACCCTTCCCCCTCCCCATGTCCTCAAGTCCATTCTCTATGTCTGCATCTTTATTCCTGTCCTGCCCCTAGGTTCTTCCGAACCATATTTTAAATCTTTTTATTTAAACTAAAGAGTCAGCATGTATTCCCTAGAGAAGAAAATCCAGCAAACTTCATTCCAGAAATATTTATGTTAGGACTCATGGAAGATATCAGTCTACATGGCATTTCTCAAGAGGAAGAAAATAGCTACCAGCAAGCAACTTTGCTTCAACCCTTAAATAGATTGCTATTTTCTGTTCTAAAATATACAGGATGATGATCAGGTGTAATGAATTATTATTAGATACATTTTTATAAAACAAAAGGGTTGAATATATAAATATAGAAGTATATGATCAGGCATTTATAAAGATGTTTGATAAGCTTCTGTAATGATACATACTACACTGCAACACAGCAAATGTTATTTGAATGATGTCCAAATAAATAATGAATGACCTTCCTGTGTATTATGTTATAAGCTAAATTCAGAACCCAAATAACTTGAAATGCTGTTATTTTCACAAAATAAAATCTTTAAATGTCTTGCCTCAATTCTATTTTCCATTCGCTTTATTTCTATTTTCCCCAAATATGTTTATTTTTAATAATACTTAATATTCCAAGTACAGAGATAATATATTACAAGTAAACAGGCTTTGGCCTTATGTCAACTCAGCTGGTTGTCATAGCTCTGACCTCTGGAACAAAGGTACAACTACCTTCTCCTCATCAGGTAAGTGAGGATTATCCCCAACACATGACAGCTAGAGTGTATTGGGAGGAAAGATGGTTTGGTTGTCTTCCATTCCTTTAAGACCTGTGTTTTTTCCTGAAAATAATTTGGGAATTTAGGAAGAGACAGTAACTCCATAGTTGTAACTGTGACATGATATTTTGTACAGGCATTAGAGGCTGAAAGCTGATAAAAATTCTTCACAGAAAATACTAACTTTAGGATCATGATGTGGGGCTCTTTGTTGCCTCTGAAATATTGCTTAACCATTTTCCGATTAGAAATACCCAATGTACCCTTACATTCATCCACGTGGCTCTGTCAGAGCAAAATCACTGAATTAGAGACTAGTGACTTCAGAGCTAGTTTACTCCTTTTGATCTAATATGTAATCAAGGAGTATTGTAGGCGTATGGAGGATAGAAAACACATGATTTCCTGTTACCTTACCCATTCCAGGTTTCAACCAAACCACTGAACTGTAACTTGGAAAGAGTACTTGACTCACACTTACAGTTCTATCTGAGACAGCTATTATCTTTTTATAGTTCCAGGAACAGTAGCTTAATTTTAAAAGAATCCACTGATCTGAGAGAAGAGCTGTGCCAGCACAAACTGGCACCCTGCCGCTCGTTTTCCTTCCCTGGAGCTCCACTTTCCTATTTCTCTGCTATTCTGACATCTCTTTGAGAAAACTGCTGAGCTCAGAAGACAGAAAGAAACCACACACACTGCAGTGCTGTTGAGCACATAAAATATCAAGTGCATTCTTCTGCCTCAAGGTCACACTTACCAGTTTCCAAAGGAGTGATGGTGGTGGAAATGTTCCGACGTGACTGTGGAGCTGGATGAGAGAATGAAAAACCCACGTAGGTTGAATCCAAGAAAATGTTAAGAGGCAGGGCTAAAGACAGGACCCTGGGGGCCAGTTCAAAAATAATGCATGTGGTCAGGCTGTAGAATGTCAGAGCCACACAGCCAGCCTTTTATGGCCAAGAGGGCAGATAAATATAGCACCAAATGGGGAGGGTAGTCCTAAACCAAGAGGAAGAAGGAGGCCCTGGCAGGTAGCTGCCTCAGTAATTAATTACATTAATGCCAGTCAATGGCTCTGGCCTGATTAAACCAAATGTAGGATTTTTATTTGGCTATGAGAGCTATTTTCAATATAATTTTATCACAGGATATTTAAAAGCATAATGGAAAGAGTGGTTTGTGTTGAGAGCTAAAAATAGGTGCAGTAATCTGATTCCCAAAATGGACTTCATGGAATTTTAATGCCAAGATACGATTCTGGATGTGCTGTTCATAACCCATGTACAATACATTTAAAAGACACGAGGTGAAAAAAGAACCGAGGCTAACTAGAGACAAGCAAGTAAAAAATGGGTCACACATGGTGGAAATTTTGGCTTGACGATCACCGTTTCTCTCATTTCAGGAAAATTTACAAAGTAGGTTATAGCTTCAAGTTTGAATCTTTGATTCCCTATTCATTAACTAAAGCCTTTACAAAGCAACAAGTTTTATCTTTCCTAAAGTCAGAATAGGGTCAGTCTATCTAACAAGAGATTCTCTTTCTTTGTTTTTAGAATATGTCACAAATTCAGAGGTGGTATAACCTGGTGGCAAGAGCCTGCACTTTGGACTCAGACCAGACCTTGATTCTAGGCCACCGATCGTATTTAATAGCCAGGTAACTCTAAGCAGAGTATTTCTCCTTAAGTTTCATTTTCTTTCTCTATAAAATGGGGATAATAACATCCAAATTAGGGGACTGCTATGGAGATCAATGTGATAATGCAGAGAAAGCACTTAACCTAGTGATTGCCACAAATGAAGACTCAGTAAATGTCAACTATTGTTAACGATAGTAATCATTTAAAAGCTCATTGTTTAGATTATGTGTGCGGAGAAGGTTATGTCCTGATGTGATAGTACATCAACTAAATACAGATCCACTTGTATCTACCAAAATATTGAACAGACCCAATATCGTAGCCTACTTTATAATTCCTTTCTTGATGATAACTACAGTTAAGACTGTTGAGAACCTATCAAGTGCCAGACACTCTGATAGGCACTTTATACACATTATCTCATTTAATTCTCATATTGCCCTATAAGGTAGGTATCATTGCCTTCTATAGCTGAGGAAACTGAGGCTTCGAGAGGTGAAGTCATTTACCAAAGAGCACACAGCTAGGAAATGACATAAATGCAATTCATTCAGAGGTATTTGGATTCCAAAGCCCATGCACTTTTTGTCACAGATTGCCTTATCCTCCCTCCAATGATACTTTGTCTATAAAAAACTAGATATTTTCAAATGGTCTTTCGAGTGCATTACAGGTCCCCACTCATAACTTAGGGTCAGCTTTTGAGCTACCCAATCAATGTATGTAAAAGAATGTATTCCACTTAGTACTGATCAAATTCAACCCAGCATTTGTTTATCTAAATGCACCTCTAGTCAGTGTGCATACGTACATTTTTGCTGTCAGGAATCCATAGGAGAATTTTCCAAGCTTTACGTTCCCAAGTATCCAGTTGTTCTCTGAACATCCAATACAGAATGGCAGTGGTTCTTCCGAGTTTTATCCATCAGCCATTGGAATGGTTCTCAGTGAGTCATTTCTCTAGAGAGCATGGTAAGTTGCTTCAAATCTCCTTGAAATAGAAAGAGGAGAAATAAGCAAAAATAAGAGATATAAATCATCATAATATGAGCTAATATTTAATAAGCATTTGCTATATGCCAAGTATTAATAATGCTAACTACTTTACAGTATTTTATTTGACCATGATACACACATAAAAACATTTCATGGATTATGAAATTAATTTAAGATTTAGAGAGATTAATATTCTTAAAGTCACACAACTAGAATGTGACAGAAAATTCAAACCTGGGTCTGTTCTACACAGAGCCCAGCCTCTTTATATCATACTGTACTGCCTTATAACCATTTAACTCGTGTGTGTGTGTGTGTGTGTGTGTGTGTGTGTGTGCAGATAGATACATACATACATAGATAGTCAGATAGATAGATAGAGTGTGCCATATGCCAGTAATGTCCACTAGAAGTAAGAACTCTTACCAAAGAAGAGTCTTAGTTATATTTCCCATGTAACAGACAACTATTAGGTCAAGATTTACTGGCTACAAATATCAACACATTAAAATAGTTACTGAACTTTGATCCCTGTTAAGAACGCAAAATGAGAGAAGTCCACACACATTTGTGGAAAAACTAAAATATCATTTATTCATTGGCGCTCAGGATCCCAGTGAAAGCCAAACAGTCTATTTCAAACAAATGTACAGTAAGATTTGGCAAAAGAAGTAGAAGCTAGACCCAAGCAACTCTCCTAAGTGATCTTTCTGCTGTAGCATCATCTGGATTCAGCCTTTTCTAACAACATATTTATCCAAAATATAAATATCCAGATAATAAACTACCTACTGTGTTATACTGCATAATAAAACTAAAGATGAAAAAATTAGTTGGGCTTTGACAAATCAATAATTGTGATTTAATCAAATTGCCTTATAGATGTATAATCAATTAATCTGACTTAATCATGATGCCCTTACACATGTGTAATTATTCTGAAAACTTAATGGAATGCTAATCTACTGTTAACTTCAAATTTCCCAGAAAACCACCTAATGCAAAATACTTTTTAAAAAGTGTATAACTATATAAGTCTGGAAATTTCAAAAATATTTGCTTCCAGAATTACAATTACTTTTTTTCATTTATTTATTTATTTTTGGCTGTGTTGGGTCTTCGTTTCTGTGCAAGGGCTTTCTCTAGTTGCGGCAAGCGGGGGCCACTCTTCATCGCGGTGCGCGGGTCTCTCACTATCGCAGCCTCTCTTGCTGCGCAGCACAGGCTCCAGACGCGCAGTCTCAGTAGTTGTGGCACACGGGCTTCTTTGCTCCGCGGCATGTGGGATCTTCCCAGACCAGGGCTCAAACCCGTGTCCCCCTGCATTGGCAGGCAGATTCTCAACCACTGCGCCACCAGGGAAGCCCAAGAATTACAATTAGTTTTTTAAGAAAGCAATTTTAAAGTAGATACATCTTCTCTTCATACTAACTGTAAGGGTATTAATATTTTTATGTGTGAAATGATGAGCTTAACTAACTGTAGTGTATGCTAAAAGCCAAAATAAATGTATAAATTATAGTTAGCCACCTAACAATTTTTGTTTTACAGAAGTGGAAACAGTAGCAAATCATTTTTCTATACATGAGGGAATAAACAAAGATATATTCTTTAGAAATAAGGTAAACCAAAGCAAACAAAACTAAATTCCAACTCAAATCAAGAAAGTTTAAGTTGCTGGGGAATTTAGTTAACAAATAAAACCCATGTATCAATAATACAGAAAAAGAAAGACCTGTACTTAGTCAGTTTAATTCATAAAGCATTTATTGAAAACCCACTAATGTGTCAGGCCCTGTGTTACACCCTAGGGTCCAGTGGTGACTCACTCACGTCCTCAAAGTAGCCACTGTGTAGTTGGGTAGACAAAGATTACTTAAGAATAACTGTGGTACAGGGCTTCCCTGGTGGCACAGTGTTTAAGAATCCGCCTGCCAATGCAGGCGACACGGGTTCAAGCCCTGGTCTGGGAAGATCCCACATGCCGCAGAGCAACTAAGCCCGCAAGCCACAGCTACTGAGCCCGTGTGCCACAACTACTGAAGCCCGTGCGCCTAGAGCCTGTGCTCTGCAACAAGAGAAGCCAGGACAATGAGAAGCCCACACACCACAATGAAGACCCAACACAGCCAAAAATAAAAACAGACAAATTAATTAATTAAAAAAAAAAAAAGAATAACTGTGGTACAATGTGATAGGTGAAATGATGAACACAGCACATAAGAAAGAATGTGACTGGTTGTTTTATATGTACAAAGCAAAACCAAAAGAATCCTTCTCCTTTAAAAGATAGGAATTAAAGGAGCAAATCTAATATATCACTCATTGCTCACCTATTATTCAAAGCACATGCTAGGTACAGGGAAGCAAAATGACTGACATGGGCCCTGTGGTCAAGAATTTCTAAATTCTAAGAATTTTCTCCAATACAAATGCTTTCAACAGAAGGCAAAGCTCAGCCAGATTATTCGGTGAGCTCTTTTAAGTTGTAAATTAATTGTATCCTTCCTATCTCAGAGTTGCCTAATTAAAAAATATATATGTATATACATATTGGCGTTTGGCATCTAGTCCTGTTGTTCATTGAGTGACTTTGAAAAGTCATTTCCCCTCTCTGAAGCTCCATTTTCTCATCTATAAAATAAAGAGTTCAACCAGATAATCTCTAAGGTGTTTTCTAGCCTGAATAACTGTGCTATGAATCCAAAAAGCAGCTGTTTTCTCTTGCCTGGTTTGTAAGCTGATTAGCAACATCCTATGTGGAGCAATTTTGAGGGGAATAAAATAAATCCTCCTTACTCCAAGAATTCTGCTTCTACCTTCTAGCTCATGTCTGAAATGCTCTCTCCTGAGAGTGTCGTTTTATGAATTTAAATCCCTATTATACTAGAAATTATCCAGAAAGATGTTTCAGCATGTAATCAGTTAAGTCTTTGCGTGACGGGCCAGAGTCTCAGATTTGTTATGAGTAGAGTGGTGGGAAAGGAGGCAGAGGGGAGAGGTGATCATTGAAAAGCCGATTCTGAAAAAGGACAATCCTGTGATGTGCAGCACTGGCCACGGAGCTGGTGGGATAAGGCCCTACCCCCTGCTCAGATCCCTACCTACCACCCTGTCCCCCAGACTAGACTCCAGGCCACCAGGAAGCAGATGCATAATTCCACAGTGGCCTTGGCTTTCTGTAGCATGCTGCACTTGTGGCTGCAGAAATGGAATTAATTTCTGTTCTTTACCGGTTGCTCTATCTCCCTCTCCTTTTTTTTTTTTGCGGTACGTGGGCCTCTCACTGTTGTGGCCTCTCCCGTTGCTGAGCACAGGCTCCGGACGCGCAGGCTCAGCGGCCATGGCTCACGGGCCCAGCCGCTCTGCAGCATGTGGGATCTTCCCAGACCAGGGCACGAACCCGAGTCCCCTGCATCGGCAGGCGGACTCTCAACCACTGCGCCACCAGGGAAGCCCCCTCTCCTCTTCTTAATTCCCTCCCCCATCACAAGAATCTTCACCTTACTTATCCAAACCCTCTTCCTCTGTTTGTATTTTTTAAATATTTAGTGTCAAGAACTGTGAAGGCATATAATGGATATTATTCAGCCTTAAAAAGAAATGAGGTCCTGATTCATGCTTACAACATGGATGAGTGTTGAAGACATCATGCTAAACGAAATAAGTCAGACACAAAAGGACAAATATTGTATGATTCCACTTACACGAGGTACCTAGGGTAGTTAAATTTATAGAGACAAAGTAGAGTAGTGGTTACCACGGGCTTGGGGAAATGGGAATAAGGAGTTAAGTGTTTAATGGGTAGAGTTTCCATAAGGGATGATGTAAAAGTTGTGGAGATGCATAGTGCTGATGGTTGCACAACAATGTAAATGTGTTGAATGCCACTGAACTGTGCACTTAAAAATGGTTAACATGGTAAATTTTGTTATGTAGATTTTATCATACACACAAAAAAACTATGAAGACTAAGCTTTTTTACCCTGCTTACAAGCTAACAAGTTAACCTACAGTTTCATTGATGCTGACAGGACATGGGACTCCTGGGTCAGAGTCAAAGGACTCTGCTACTCACAGCAATAGCAGAAGCCAAAGCATCAGCATATTCTTCACCAGTGTGACAACCCCACCCGCCCCGTTCCCCCAGGGCAACATGAAGAGGCCCAGGTGACACCAGCACACACACTGGATTGCATTATGAGAGTGGAACTTTGAGCTTAGGGAACCTGAATATTTTATAAGGAGCAGTAAGCATGCCTGCTCTTTGCTCCAGAGGCAGCCATTCTCTTTATTATACTGGAGAGGGGGTGTGCCTGCCTTTGCCCTGGAGGGAGATACTTTCTCTATCTTCAAACATCCCTGAAAAGATAGCCTGGAACAAAGGGAAGCCAGAGGCTTGCTTGCAAGATGTGCAGAAACATGACAGACCCATGGAGAATTGTCTCCCAACAATCAACACAGGTTATTTTTACAAAAACAATAACTTTTTTTCTTTTTTTTTTAGAAGTGAGAACCAGACTAAAGAGTAACAGACGTGAGTCTCCAGTTTCAATTTATTTTTAATTTCTTTTTAACAGTTTTATAGAAGAAAAAGTTATTGTACATACCATAAAATTCATCCATTTTGAGAGTAAAGATCAGTGAATTTTAGTAAATTTATACGGTTGTGCAACCACCACCAAAATCCAGTTTTAAAACACTTCCATCACTGGAAAACTTCCCTCATGCCAGTTTGCAGTCAGCCCCTGGTCACTTCCACAACCCAGGCAACCACTGACCTGATTTCTGTCCCTACAGTTTAGCCTTTTCTAGAAATTTCATACAAATGGAATCATATAATATGTAGACTTTTGTGTCTGTTTTCTTTTTAACCTAGCAAGATGTTTTTGAGATTCATCCATGTTGTTGCATGATTCAGCAGATTGCTTCTTTTTACTGCTGAGAAGTACTTCATTAAAAGACACACCATGTTTTGCTTATCTGTTCATCAACGAATCAACTTTGCATTGTGTCCAGTTTGGGGCTAGTATGAATAATGTCACCTTGAATTTTTAAATCTATTTTTCCTTATATAGTTAACCAAAGTTGGTGTGATAGATAACAGAAGTATCAAAACACTGACCAAAAAGTATTGCTATCTAACACTTATACAGTACTTACTATTTACCAGGTGGTATTAAAAATGCTTTATATGTATTAACTTCTTTATTCCTGACAACAATTTATAAAGTAGATACTATTATTATAATACATTTTTCATTAATGAGAAAAACTGAGTATAGAGAAGTTCAGTAACTTGTTCCAGGACAAACAACTAAAATGTGTTAAAGCAAGGATTCAAATTCAGATAACCCAGATCCAGAGTTCATATGTTAACCAGTACATAATATTCCCTTATAATTAAAACAAACCAATTCTGACAAAATTCTATAGCTTCCTCCTTCTTTTAATATTGCAGATACCATTTTTATATTTGATGCAGGCACATGTCTCCAAGTATTAATTAATTATGTTCTGTGTTCCCTTATTCTCTCTTTCATACCATAAGAGTCCCCTTTCCTCCCCTAGTCTACACTGAAGCAGAAAAAAAGATGCAAAAACACAACAAAACACAGTTTCAGACTAGTAGTTTCAGATACAAGCTTACAGAGCTAGCTTTTCCTATCCTGCTCACTAGATAAGACAGCCTAGAAAAAAGGAGAGGGAAAAGGCAGGGTAGTTACTAGAACAGGAAAGCAAAGATCAAAAGAAGGGCTGGGGTGATCCTCAACCTGGAAGGAAATGGACCTTTGATGAAAAGAGCAAGGGAGCAGAGAGAAAGACAGGGAATAATTTTCTTCAAAAATGAACTCAACTTTGGAGACACTAAGTGAAGGAAGCCAGTCACAATGGACAAATGCTGTTGTATGATTCCACCTATATAAGGTACTGGGGTCAAATTCAAGGTAGAACAGTAGTTGCCAGAGACTTGGATGGTGGAGTGGAGGAAATGGGGGGTTACTGTTTAATGGCTAGAAAGTTTCAGTTGAGCAAGATGAAAAAGTTCTGGAGACGGTGGTGGTGATGGCTGCACAACAGCGTGAATGTACTTATGCCACTGAACTGTGCACTTGAAACTGGTTAAGGTGATAAATTTTATGCTAGGCATATTTCACCATAATTTTAAAAAATGGATTCTTCTGATTCGTCACTGTTCAGCATGGACAGTCCACCATTCAGCAGTCCTGGACACTGATAACCCCATTCCCCTCAACAGAGATGCAATACTTGGCCACCTGGTGGGGGGAGAAGAGCATGAAGGGAGACCTGTGCCCCTCCCACGGGAGAACTCAACGGTCCCGGTTGGGACTCTCTCAATGAGGGCAGCAATGGACACAACATTATCACACTTGGTTCTCATCAGTGTGTACACACTACGTTCTACTTTGTCTAACAATTGATGAATGCATTGTACTATTTCACCATAATTTGTTACCTAGTCTCTAGGTGTTGGCCACATGGATATTTCCAGTTATTCACTAAGACTAGAAGTTAGAACCAAGAATTAGGAGCATCTTCATTTTCACCTCAGCTCTTTTACCACATCTATGTGTGTGTTCCCTTCAGAGGCAGCCTTTTAACCCCTCTGGTTCTGTTCTGTCACAGTTCTCCTAATGGAGTGGGATTGGAAGAGTGGTTCTCCATCCTGGCTACACATCAGAATCACCTGAGGAGTTTTTAAACCGTCCTCAGGCTCAGGCCATATTCCAGGACAATTAACTCTGAATCTCCGGGCATGGGAGAATGAGTGTTTCTAAAAGCTCCTAAATGATTCTAATATGCAGCCCTAGAGGAAAAATAATCTCCTAGGTCTATTTCGGTTCTAAAATGATGAAATCCTCTGAATTAAAAAGGGAGTTATAAATATTTTATACAAATAAAGTTTTCCTTTCAGTTACCTCCTTGGGAAGTATTTCCCCAGAAAGGAACTACAGATTGAAGGAAATGTTTCGTGAGAGTGCTATTTGGAATATTAGGCTAATCTATAATGCCACCTACCAAATATGAATGCACTCTTTCTTCATTGCTCCATCAACATTGGAATGTACAATTTTATTTCAGCAAGTTTAACAGATGTGAAATATATCTCATAGCTATTTTTAAATGCATTTTTAAAATTCATGGTGAGGCCAGACATTTCCTTCAACATAAGCTATTTGGTTTTCCTCTTGTATGAGCTTCTTTTGACCTTTGACATGGAGATTGATTATTTTTCTTGAGATCATTATTAATCTGTTAATATAATAATAAATAAAAATTTTAAATAAGATAAAATAGCTACCATTAAACCTCCTGTGTACTAGATACTATATCATGCTTTACACATAGTATTTTATTTCTTACAAAAACCCTACAAAGCAGTTATCATCCCCAAGTTAAAAATGAGAAAACTAAGTTTCAGAGAATAACATTAGACAAGTTACCCAAGGTCACATAGCCAGCAAATAGTAGAGCTGGGATTTGAACCCAGTTCCATCTGGCTTTAATGCTCCATTCTCCTTCCTGGACAGGAAAGCACTTAATGCCTGCTCTGCTCACAGCATCTGCTGATATTCTGCACCATGTGATTCCTACTCTATGACCACAGGTGATGGATCATTTCAGACCCAAAGGTTACTGATGTAGATCCTGGCAGCAACCTATGATATATAGCCTGGGCCAAAAAGGTGAGTCAAGCCAATCACATTCCTAGCTTACAAATTTGATTTTGGAAATACTGAGTGTCAATACACTTACTAGAAGGACCAAAAGTCAAAAAAGCCTGAACCAAAAGATGCCAGGGGTATATCTGGGGTCAGAGAAGCCATGGCAAGCTGAAATTATGAGGGACCAGAAACTAAAATTAGCGGAGAAAGGCAGTTGGTAGAGAGAAAACACAGTAGATGCTCTTAAAGAAGCAGCAGGTCACTCAGAGAACAATCATTCGGCCCATGAGAGAAAAACAAGAGTCAATCCCTCAAGTTACTGAATCCAAAAAAATGGTTCTGAAGAACCTAGGGGCAGGACAGGAATAAAGATGCAGATGTAGAGAATGGACTTGGGGACACAGGGAGGGGGAAGGGTAAGCTGGGACAAAGTGAGAGAGTGGCATGAACATATATATACTACCAAATGTAAAATAGATAGCTAGTGGGAAGCAGCTGCATAGCACAGGGAGATCAGCTTTGTGTCCACCTAGAGGGGTAGGATAGGGAGGGTGGGAGGGAGACGCAAGAGGGAGGAGATGTGGGGATATATGTTTATGTATAGCTGATTCACTTTGTGATACAGCAGAAACTAACACACCATTGTAAAGCAATTATACTCCAATAAAGATGTTTTTAAAAAGCATCTAAATAGAGAGAATTACTATAAGAATTAATATAGTAACATAAAAGACTTTATTCATTGTTATCCCCTGCCTTGGACAATAATTTTTATTGGCTTATATATCCAAACAAGAGCTAACCTGTCTGTGGCTAATCTGGTCACTTCAACTACCTATGTCCCAGGAGATTTTTCATTCTGGACCTAGCAGGCCATACAGAAGTTTGATAACATTCATCTGGTTGAGTTTCAACACAGGACTACTTTCATCATTTAACCACTTCCTAAATCTCCCTTACTTTTTTCTATACCTTTGCCCCAGAGTTCTTAAATAAGGTTTACAGTTTTAACGTAGGTTTACTGCATACACATGACATGTCTGGCACTGTGCAAGGTACTGGGAATACAAACAGAAGAAGGTGCTCTTGGGAAGTATGTCTACCTTCTTATCATAGTTCTTTCTTTGTCCAGCAGTAAATAATGAATTGCGTAGCACACAGTAAGACACCGAAGAATACTGACTTTGGGAAAGCCCCTTCAAACTTGACCTCTGGCTCGTCGACCTGTCAGGGATTCCTGGGTAGTGCTGCCAGACCAGTGCTTTAATGCTTTACTGAATCAGCACTTGAGGGACAACGCAAAAGGAGGTGTTCTGTGTTAAATGTTGACACGTTATATGAAATGGAATCTGCCCATAGAAATTACTTTCATTTACCATTATTTCTCCAGGAGAAAGAAGAACTCAGAATCAAAAGTTACAGTACACTTACAGATGGCTGGCAAATCAGTTATTTTCCCAAGGCGCTAACTTCAGTGGAATTAGGAAGTCTGCACAAGACCTTAGAGTCTCTTTTCCTGGAAAGAACAAAAAAAATAAGTCAACGTTTGGGGTAACTATTCCCACTCCAAATTATTAACACAGTCATTCTTATCAATGATTAGCGTATGTCAACAATAAATACTCCTGCCTTTTCTATTCCCCAGAATATGACCTTGGGCAGGTTATTAACCTCTCTAAGCTTCAAGTTCCTCATCTGTAAAATGGAAATGACGGTAACTACCCTGCAGGGCAATGACTGAGAGTTAATAAAACACGTAGCCGAGTGCCTAGCTCTGTAACTATAATAACAATAACAATTCATTAGTTTGTTAAAAGTGTACACTGAAAAACTTCTACCTAGCTAGTGTAAAACTAATATAGGATATGTTTACAAGTGAGTTGGAAAGCAAGTCAAACAGACATGAAAAAGCAGAGAACAATCAAAAATGATCTAATATTTTTGAGCGCAATAGGACGTTAAACGTGAGGTTCATGATAATCTCAGAATTTTGGCAGACATCCCAGAGGCTGAAAATATTAGTTGTCAGAATATCTATTCAGGACATGTTCCAAGACTGTGAAATCAATTTTGTGACTCTTAGTTAATGTTCCTCCTCAGGAATTATAAGAGGCAAGATCAGTCTCTAGACCTGAGAGTTTCTAGAGAGACCAGCATCCAGAATTCTTTGGAGAGAGGTGTCAGGATTTTGCTCATCCATTCCACACACATTGTGTAGGGAGTGAGTGATTCTTCTCACAGCACTTCGAATACACCTTCAGCAGGTAACGTTGCTGGAGGAAAGCATACTGCCGGTCTAATTATTGTTCCATGGTAGGCCATTTGTCTTTTCTCTCTGGAAGTTTTTACTATTTTCCTTTACCCTTGATGCTCTGAAGTTTCACTGTGATGGGACTCGGCATAGATTTATTTCTATTTTTCCTGCTTCATATTCAGTGCACTTTCAACGCGAATAAAGATTTTTTGACTCTCTTTCAATACTGGGAAACTCTTAGTCGTTGTCTCTTTTAATACTGTTTCCCATCATTCCCATTTTTATCTTGTTCTGGATTTCCCATTAAATATACAATGGATTGTCAAAATATATCCTCCCTGACTCTTGACGGCTCTTTTATACTTTTATCTTCTTGTCTCTTTGTGCTGTTTTAGTGAATGCCTCTGTACTGTCTTCTAATCCACAACCTCAAAACATCCAAAACTGTAACTGTCATTTCCTACCATCACCATACCCCACACTCCAAACTACTTCTCCCCCATGTTCCTCATTTCAGTGATTGTCAGTGTCATCTGTCAGAAATCCCGATTCTTCCTTCTCCCAGGCTATTCCTCTGAACTATCAGAGCAATTTTAAAATAACACAATTCTGCTCATATTAACCCCATACTTAAGACAGATCAGTGGTATCCTACTGACCTTCAGAAAATGACTTAAAGGCCATTTGGGATACAGTCTCTGCTTACTCCTTTAGCCTCATAGTTCTACCATTTTTCCCTTATATTCTACTATCCAGCTCTTCATTCAGTCAATATGTATTTTTACTTACTGAGTGCCTGTAATGTGCTAATAATAATCACTGTTCTAGGTCTTGGGGATACTTCAGTAAACAAAGAAGCCTAAAAACCCTGTCTTCATGGAACTTAATAGGGAATATGTTCTGGTTTACATTTTAAAGGATTACTCTTTGGCAGTGTGGAAGTACCACATAGGGGGACGTGGAAGTAAGGAGACAAGTTAGAAGGCTATTGCAAAAATCCAGGCTTGAGAGAGGTTACCTTGCACTAAAATGGTAGTAAAGTTGGTGAGACTAAGTCATATTCCAATATATTTTGAAGGACTTAACCAATAGGTATGTGCTAATAACTGTTCTAGACCCTGGAGATACTTTGACTGAAAGACTGGATGAAGGTCATGAAAGAAAAAGCGGTGGCATAGATGAGTCAAAGGTTTTTGACCTGAGCAACTTAAAGGATTGAAATGCCATTAACCAAGCTGGAGAAGACAACAGGAAGAGCAGGTTTTGGAGTGTGAAGGTTTAGATGCCTGGCAGACCTCCTCTTGGAAATGTCAAGTGAATATTTAGATACATGAGTCTGGAGTGCAGGGCAGAGGTTTTGGCCAGAGATACACACTTGGGAGTGATCAGTGTCTAAGTAGTATTTAAAGCCATGAAAGTAGATAAGATCATCTAGGGAAGGAGTGTCGACAGAAAAGAAAAGAAAAACAAAAAAAAAGAAAAGAAAAGAAAGCCAAGCACTGAGTTCTGGGCTACACTGAGGGATTAGGGAAATTAGGAGGTATTGGCAAAAGACATTGAAGAGTAGCCATAAGGAAGGAGGAAAACCAGGAGAGTGAGGCATCCTGGAAGCAAAGAAGAAAGTATTTCAAAGGTGAGGGAGTGATCACTCGGGCAATGGGCCATGATGACATGGAGGTCATTGGTGACCTTGATAAGCACTTGTTGGTGGAGTGGCTGGGAAAATAAGCCTTATTATAGTGAGTTTAACAGAGAACTAGAGCCAGTGAGTATAGGTGACTCTTCTGAGGACTTTTATAAAGGGGAACAAAGAAATAGGACAATAGCTGGAGGAGGAAAGTGCATCAGAAAGAGGGGTTTTTTTGGTGTTTGTTTATACTATAGCAGTTTTCTATTGCTGCTATAACAAATTACCACAAACCTAGTGGTTTAAAACAACACAACTTAATTTTCTTACAGTTGTGTAGATTAGAAGTCCAACTTGGGTCTCACTAGGCTAAAATCAGGCTGTCAGCAAGACTATGTTCCTTTTTAAAGACTCTAGGGGAGAATCTGTTTCCTCGTCTTTTCTAGCTTCTGGAGTCCATCCACATTCCTTGGCTCCTGGCCCCCTTCCTCCATCTTTAAAGCCAGCAATGTTACATCACTCTGAACATTCTTCCATGGTCACATCTCCCTCTGATTGTCATATTCTGCCTCCTTCTTCTACTTTTAAACCCTTGTGATTACACTGTGCCCATCGTGATAACACAGCATAAACTCCCTATTTTAAGGTCAGCTCATTAGCAACCTTAATTTCATTCTTAATTCCTCTGTTATGTAACCTAACATAGTCACAGGTTCTGGAATTAGGATGTGGGGAGGCTGCCATACATGCGATACATTACAGCTTACTTGTTGATGGGAATAACCCAATAAAGAGAGAGAGAACCTGATGACGCTGGGGAGGGCAGAATTGTTGGAGTGACATGAGTGAGCAAAGGGAGGAACTGGTTTTCCATAGGAGCAAGGAGGGTTCCCCTCAATTTAACAAAAGAGGAGTGAGAAGACAACAAATGGGGACAGATGCTGGCTGGTGGGTAAATGTGGGTGGTGTGGGAGCTTGCAGGAGTCATTTTTTTTCTCAGTGACTCAGAAGCAAGGTCATGGACTGAGAGCAAGGATTGGGGGAAGGTGTTGAAGGTGTGAGAGGACAGAAGTTATAAAACTGACATCGAAGAGATTAGGAGCATGAAAGAAATTGAGAAATGTCACGAGTACCTAGGTAGCATCAAGGGCCCACTTGACGTCTGCTGTCATTATTTAAAGTGTGCTCATTCAGCTTGTTTCCTCCAGCCAGGTAGACAAAACATGGGTACATTAATTAGCTAGGTTAGGTTAACTGCTCGACAAACTCCAAATCTCAGTGCCTTAACCAACCAAATTCGATTTCTCACTAAGAAATGTACATGGACTATCTCACCTAATCCATACAATGGTTGAACAACATGAATACCATTATTATGCTCTTTTCCAGATGAAGAAACTAAAGAATTAATTGTAGCAAGCCTAAACCATAATTTTTGTTTTAGGTATTAGTTTTATTTGGGGGTATTTTTAAAAAAATTTTTGCCTCATAAGATTAATTCAGAAAATGTAATTTGGTCACTATACTCATTCATTAACAAAATATTATTAGAATCAACTATGTTAGGCTATGTATTTCAAATTATGAACCATAATATTATATTAGGAATCTTTGTCTTTTAGTAGTTGGAGCAGCATTTCTTCAGTTAATTACCAGAGCCCAGTAACTTATTTTCTAGGTAATTCTTATTTCTTATTTTGGTTTGGTTTATTCATATTCTCTCTTCTTGTATCTTGTTTAGTATTTTAATTTTCCTAAGCATTTATCTATCTTAGTTTTTCAGATTTACTAGTATGGAAGTAATAACTTTCCTCAAATATTCTTAATTCAACTTCACATTATTTTTTTAATATCATTCCTGAATTTAGAAATAATTGTGATTTTTTTTAAATGCAATTCTTTATGTAGAATTTTCTATACCCTTTTAATATACTACTTGTAGTTTTGGCGCTTTTAAGCTATTAACTTTAAAGTTAATACAGATTAACTCAAACACCTTTACTTCATTTAAAAGAAAGAAGTTCCTCCTACTGTTTTACTGAATTAATGCTAATTGTTACATTCTATTTCATGTACAGAGAATTAGAATTCCACTTATGTAGGTAAAACCAGAACGTAAGCCATGTCTCTTAACATTCAAAAGTTTCTTACATGCAATAAAAATTGCAAGTGATCATTACAAAATTATTGACTTAGGTAGTAAACACCAAGGGTCAATTCAGCTATGCTTCTTTGTTGTTTGGGTATGGAGTTCCCCTCCTTGGACCAAAGAAGAGAGCGCAGCATAGTAAAATTAAATGTGGGCTTTGGGTCAGGACACTTACTAGCTATGTGCACTTGAACAAGTAACCAGTTACTGAATATTTATTGGCACCCATGGATAATTAGGCACTTTATTAGGAGTTAGGGATTCGTGAACAAGAAACACTGGCCTCTGTCCTTCTATCTTACCCCTGGACAAGCAGAGACATGAGTTATAGCCCTGGTTCTTTTATTGTCTTTTGGTAACATGTGCAAGTCACTAAAGTATTTAAGCCTCGGTTTCCTAATCTGTGAAACAGAGGTGATAATATTTACCTCACAGGGTCATTGTAAGAATTAAATGATAAAAATGCTTATGTACTAATAAAAATGCTTATGGAGCTTCCCTGGTGGCGCAGTGGTTGAGAGTCTGCCTGCCGATGCAGGGGACGCGGGTTCGTGCCCCGGTCTGGGAAGATCCCACATGCAGCAGAGCGGCTGGGCCTGTAAGCCATGGCCGCTGAGCCTGCGCGTCCGGAGCCTGTGCTCCGCAACGGGAGAGGCCGCAACAGTGAGAGGCCCACGTACCGCAAAAAAAAAAAAAAAAAAAGCTTATGTACTAATTAAATGATAAAAATGCTTATGTACTAATACCTAGTACATAAGAGGTATATAGTAACTGTGTGTTCCTTTTCTTTCTCTCTGTGCTTTTTTCTTTCTTTAGATCTGATCTCGGGGTGGGGGGGTGGAAAAGATCCTTACCTTGAGGCAGGAGCAATCGTGCCCTTTCAGTGTAATTACAGCACCCCCAAATAATTGCATACTATATAGTCTGAGTTCCTGAAACATGGTTTTTCCCAGCCTTGGCACTACTGACATTTTTGGCAGAATAATGCTCTGTTGTAGGGGGCTGTCCTGTGCATTGTGGGGTGTTTAGCAGCATCCCCGGCCTCTACCCACTAGATGCCAGTAGCAGCTCCCTGGTTATGAAAATCAAAACTGTCTCCAGACATTGCCAAGTGTTCCCTTGGGGGAAAGTCACCCCTGGTTGTGAACCTCCACATTAGTGGATCATAAATTCACATGTAGTAGGTCTTGAGCATTTAAAAAAATTAAATGGCATAACGTTGACAAGAATAGAAATCTTAGAAAGTATTACAGGCAGTCAAGTATTGCTTAGTGATATAAATTTCTTACTGTGAGTTGTCAAAAATTTGAAAGCCACTGTACTCAGTGAAAACTTTCATATAAACTCATTTAATCAGAAAACTCTACAAAATAAGGACAGATGTTATCCTCTGTTTTACAAATCAGAAAATTGACTCTCAGATCAGTTGAATGACTTGCCCTCAGGGTTACTCAGTAGGCTAAAGGAAAGATGTGAAACCCAACCCAGGTCTCTATAAACTTTTAATGACAAGGTGTAAGACTGTCACCTGAGGGCAAAGATCTCCCGAAGGGTCCACAAGGGAAGAGATACTAGAGTGAGAGGTCTTTGGTGGTGGGTCCAATCATTAAAATTTAATATCAAAATGTTAGATGGAAATTTGAATAACATTTTATCAAGGTATTATTTTTCCACACTGCTAACCTTTGTATACCCACAGTTAATTGGGGAATGAATAAATTAATGAATGAACATGGACCACACAAATCCCTGTGCTCAGTCAGCCAGGCCCTCTGATCACCTCCAGACAATCAGGCAGGCTGCTCCTTTTGCCTGGAATCTCCCTCTCCTCTCTTTCCCCACTGACTTCTAGAATCAGCTCTTCAGTAGTCCTCCGAGGGACACTTTCCACAAGTCCCCAGACAGGCTGATTTCCTCCTCTGTGCTCCTTCTACAAACCTTACCAAATTATGCTGTAATTTTCTGTTCCACGTTTGTTCCCTGATAACTCCCTGTGCCTTTACTCCCTCCCCTGTCATCCCAGAGGTAGAAACTATGCTCTATTTCAAAAACCAAATAAACCACAGCACTCACCACAGTGCCTGGCAATGCAGTTGCTGTTTAATACCTGTTGACTGAATGGAAGGAAAGCAGACAGACAAAGCAATTATCTGATACTATAGAAGCAAAAGACTGTTGCTGCTCCCTGCCGCCCTGAGGGGAAAACTATACCGTCCATTTCACCATATAGGATGACAGCAGTGGGAGCTCTAGCACCCCCTGGTGGCAGGTGGAGGTGTGAGCACTGCAGGCGGCTCGCCCTGGGTCCAAGCCAGGCTCCAAGAACTACCTGCAGTCCCCCGACTCAGCCACCTGGAGTTTGTGCCCTCACTGCCTAGTCTTAGACCCTAAACTGTCCTCGCTCTGTGTTCCCACCTTTGGTGATAAGACTCACTTAGGACCCCTGTTAAACTGATGGCTTCCCAGGACCCGCCCTGCAAGATTCTGATTCAGCGGGCTGGAGATGAGGCCCCCAATACTGTGTATTTTTAACTAGTCCCCCAAGTGATTCTCACTACCAAGGCTGTTTGGTAAACTAATCATCTTCGTTTCACTCACGCTGTAGAATTAGGGCAGTTGTTTATTTTTCAGTGACTTTACCTCCAAGTGAACTTGGGAATATATTATTGGTTAAAAGACGAAATGCTCCTGAGGTCCTTGAAGGTGTAGCTTATTCGTATTTCGAGTATATTATCCTGCAGCCTTTACCTTCCAAATGCTCCAATATATTATTGGTTAAGAGACGAAATGCTCCTGAGGTCCTTGAAGGTGTAGCTTATTCGTATTTCGAGTATACTATCCTGCAGCTTTTACCTTCCTTGTCAGCAGCAGGGTGACTCGAGTGAAGGCGGCTTTCGAGGGCGACCCCAAACCTCAGAACTGTTCCGGCCACGTGAGCGAGACCAGGCACGTGACCCCGGGGCCAGGATGACCCTGGAGTGGCATCGGCCCCAGCCCACCCCTTCCTCCAAGGGGCCGGAGTCTGGACGCAGGAAGATAATCGGGGAGGGCTTTCCTTTAACAAGACGCACTGGCTGAAGCGGCCCGGGGCAAGGAGAGCAGAGCACAATAGGCCCCACTTTCTGGCCCCCTTTCCACCAGGCGCACGCCCGAACCACAGTCAGAGGCGGGGGCAAAGTTAGGAAGCTCTCGCTGCTGGTCACGCGTCTTCCTTTCGAGCCGGACGCAGTCAGGCTATCTTCTTCATGGGGTCTGAGGGGCTCTGGTGGGAAACAAAACCGCGAACGTTTTTGAATAGGGAGGAGGTCTTCGGCCGCCCGTGGCCTGAGGAAATCCTTCTGGGACGAATAAATAGTGGCTTCTTGTCTGAGGGCCCTCGGGACTAAACAATGTTTGCTTCTGTGGGGAGGGGCGGGACTCTTCATAAAATAACACGGTACACAGAGATCAAATCTTTTGCCCAAAGGCCTCCTCTCGGTATACGCGGGCCGCTCGGGGACCTGCAGACCGACCTCTAAACCTCCTGAGTCACCCTGAGGTGAGCCACACGCGCAGGCGCACGACTGCTCGGCGGCAGGGGCGGGGCTTTCTGAGGCGGGGCGAAGGCCAGTCACGTGGGCCGCGAAGCCCTCTCCGCGATTTCCCTACAAGGACTTGGGCTGTTGGGCCCCGCCCCTGGCCGGGCCCTGGAATGTGCGGAGGGGCAAACCCACAGGACAGAGTCAACCATTTGCCAAGAGGAAAGGGGGGAAGAAAAGCTTACATTGTAAGAAGAGGTATTAAAAAAAAGGAAAACTCAGTCATCAGACCCGGAGAACCATTACACCTTCTTCTACGTTCTAAGTTGCCCGCTTTACACGTCCTTCCCATGCACTTGGTCAAAACTGCGCCCTTTGAGCACACTGGCAACTCCCCCGCTCCGTCGCCCTTCCATTAAGCCAGGCTCACACTGTTAGCAGAGAATGGTGACTCGCTTCCTTCCGGTCCGCTAAGCGGAGGCCGGAAGTGTTGTTTGCAGCGTCTCTGGGAGTGGGAGGGAGTTTGTAGCAGCAGTCAGGGCAGCGAGGGGTTCCTTGAAGCGTTCGGGTTCTCGCGGCTGAGCAGGGTGAGTGGTGCTCGCGGTCGGGCGCGTGAGGCCCATTTCGGGGCGCATCCCCTCGGGACGGCTTGCGGGGGGGGGGGCAGTGGCGCTCCCCCGGCGCCGGGAGCGCACCTGGGCAGGTGTACCAGCCGGTTCCCGGGTTTCGAGCCCCAGTGCCAGCTCCAGCATTGAAGGCCGCGGCCGGAAGCGGCCCAGACGCCGACTTCGCTCCTTTGCCCAAAGTAGGAGCTCGGGAAGTGTGGCTTACTCTGCTGGCGCCGCGAGCTTGAGCGACAGCAGGCCTGCGAAACCCGAGCCCAGCGGAGCTGACTCTGGGACTAAGTTTAGTTTATAACGTAAACTTGCCCGATTCAAGAGAGTTTGCGCAAAAACTGTAGCCCAGTTCGCCCCCTCCCCCCCCCCCGCGCTGCAGCTGTTGTTGCAGCTGTGTGGCTACGTTTAGTGGGAATAACCACCTCAAATTAGCAACTTCCTCAGCTCGGTGTCCACTTTTGTAATTAGAGTTTTATTTTTAAGTGATATTTGGACAAAGAGGAGTTCGGGGTTTAGTTTGCGGCTCCAGAAAAACTCCAAAATACAATACCTTCTTACTCTTGGGTGGAAACTCGGGGTTAAGTCAATTTCCCAAAGTGTTTTCCTTTTAAAGTAGTTGAATAGGTTTATCAAAGAGTGTATCACTTCTTTACAGAACTTTGGAACAGAAATAAGCGTTAGGTTGAGATTTTAACTTAAGTGCAAAAAGTTTTATATCTAAAGGTGAAGAAAGTGAATATTTCCTAAGATTACTACTATTTGTTTCATGTTCTGGAAGCCTTTTGATAAAACTTAACCAGAAAAAGCTTTTTATTTAAAAAAGTGACGCTTTACTGGCAAGTGAACCACGACAAAGAATTGCCTTTGTCAAGTGCCGAGAACTTTTTGGGTGTGGCAGTCTAAGGGAACTGATCCTACCTTCTACCGGAAGTTTGCGTAGGAATTGAAAACTTGTTTTAGTTGGAACGGAAGCACCAGCCTGAAAATGTACTTTTAAAAAGCCGTGGTTAGCCCCCCAAAATTACATATACTTAGCTTTGAAAAAAGAAGTGCATTGATTAAATGAGACGGTAGATTTGGTAAGCAGATACTACGTGCTCTCACATTAAGAAGTGTTTTCTAAAATGGGAATTTTTCCTTAAAGAATATAATCATATTTCCAGAATACTATCAATTTGAGTGTTAGTTCTGTAGAAGAAGTCTTAGGATTAGTTTCCATTTATTACCACTACAAACGCTGTACTCTAGGATTCTAACTAGAGTAATCTAATGTAATATTGGTATGGATTAATCCCATTTTATAAATGAAACCAAAGTATCTAGAAATTCTGAAAAATCTTCTGGTTGCCCTTGATGTGTGGGGAAAGCCTCTTTGAGGATCTTTATTTTCCATTTCCCCCATCACTTAATCTAGTCTAACATCTTCCTTACATAGTTTGTATCCCTCCTTTTGTCATAACCCTGAATGATTCTCTGCCTATTTGATCAAGCTAAAAGGATAAATCTAGAAATTCATTACCACCAACACTCCCTTTCCCTGATTAAGACAAGATTATACTCCTTCAGGTCTGTAAACTGAATCTCCTTGACTGAATCTCTTCTATATATTTAATAGAAGTTGGCTCTGCGAGTCTGTGGGTTTTCAAGTTCCATACAACATATAGCCCTTCACACCAAAGATCTTAAATTAAATGCTTCAAAAATAGACTCTAGGGGCTTCCCTGGTGGCGCAGTGGTTGAGAGTCTGCCTGCCAATGCAGGGGACGCAGGTTCGTGCCCCGGTCCGGGAAGATCCCACATGCCGCGGAGCGGCTGGGCCCGTGAGCCATGGCCGCTGAGCCTGCGTGTCCGGAGCCTGTGCTCTGCAACGGGAGAGGCCACAACAGTGAGAGTCCCGCGTACCGCGCAAAAAAAAAATAGACTCTAGACTATAACTTAGGATGAGTGAGGACATAACTCGGAAATCTCAGGTGCCTTCATGGCAATCTTCCCACCCTAAATAAAGAATAGTTACATTGATGAATAAGATATTTTCAATTTTATTTTGCCCTAGTTTATGAGAGTTGTGTTTTTGCTGAAGGCTTGTTACATGCAGAGGGTTACAGGTTGACTCGTTTGGGGAGGGTAAAAGTGGACAGCATACTAGAATCATAGCAAGGAGGACAATGACAGTATCTGTCATCAATGATCTTCTCCTTCAGATCATAGCACTGTTCCTCATTTGGCTCCCTCTCTGCCAGTGTTTATTCCACCCATACTTTCAGTTTGGTAGGGGAAAATAAAAAACACCCTTTCCTTATTTTGAAATAACTGACTGCAAAGCTGAACTCCCTGTCACTATAAGGATCTGGGTTTCTGGTGGGAGATAAACTCACAGATCAGAATCCAACCTCCTTGGAAAAGTAAAGGCCCATGTAGTAACTTGCCCAACGGTATACTACCAGTTTTTGGTAGAATTAACTACCCTAATTTGTTAGAACTAAGACTAACATTTAAGTCTCTTAATTCTAAGGATGTCTTGTAGCTTTTAGGATTTTTCAGTCTTCTCCCCCCGCCCAAATCTTTTAGAAACAAAGATCTTTTCTGAACTCACAATATTTGATAATCATGTACCACCTTTGAGTTATTTTTCATTTTTGTTACGCATTGTTTTAACTTGAGAGCCATACTCCTGGAATGAAAACTATGTGACTCATTTCATAAGTTGAACCAATCATCTCATTTCTTTAAAGTTGCCTCTCCAACTATATTTTAAGCTCCTTGAGGATAGCACACCTACCTTACATTTCTTAATTCTTAAATAATAATCAGCACTCATGACATTTAATGCACATGAATGTAATTCTGCTGATCATATTAAAGGTTGATGGTTAAGTATCGAATGAGATAAAGAAAAATTCTGTGAGACCACTGTCAGTTCTGACCCCCAAAAAACCTTTATAATGTTTAAAAACTATGTTAGAATGCATTTACAAATTGAAAGAATGCATGATTTTAAAAAGGCTAAATAGGGGACTTCCCTGGTGGCACAGTGGTTAAGAATCCACCTGCCAGTGCAGGAGACACGGGTTCGAGCCCTGATCCGGGAAGATCTCACATGGCCGTGGAGCAGCTAAGCCCGAGCACCAGAACTACTGAGCCTGCACACTAGAGCCCACGGGCCACAACTACTGAGCCCTCATGCCACAACTACTGAAGCCCACGCACCTAGAGCCTGTGCTTCGCAACAAAGAGAAGCCACCGCGATGAGAAGCCACTTAACCCAATGAAGAGTAGCCCCCACTCACCGCAACTAGAGAAAGCCCGTGCGCAGCAATGAAGACCCAACACTGGCAAAAATAATAAATGTATTTATTTTTTAAAAAAAGCAACTGTAAAAAGGCTAAATAGGAAATACATCAAAATTCAAGAAGTGGGTGTGTGTTACTTTATAATCCAAACTAAGTTTTAAAAAGGTGTATAGAGGACCCGCACCAAATTGAGTATTATGAGTTTTTTTGTTTTGTATTTTATAATTTTATTTATTTATTTTTGGCTGTGTTAGGTCTTCGTTGCTGTGCGCGGGCTTTCTCTAGTTGTGGCCAGCGGGGGCTACTCTTCGTCATGGTGCGCGGGCTTCTCATTGCGGTGGCTTCTCGTTGCAGAGCACAGGCTCTAGGTGAACAGGCTTCAGTAGTTGTGGCTCGTGGGCTCTAGAGTGCAGGATCAGTAGTTGTGGCGCACGGGCTTAGTTGCTCCATGGCATGTGGGATCTTCTCAGACCAGGGCTCAAACCCATGTCCCCTGCATTGGCAGGCGGATTCTTAACTGCTGCGCCACCAGGGAAGCCCTATGAGGTTTTGTAGATTAAAAAAATCATTTGTATCAACCATTTGACCTATAATTTTCATCAGTTTCTTTGTTTTTAAAATAACTGACATTTGTGCGTCATTAGGGGAATATAATGTAGTCAAACAAAACAGACTGTTTTTAAAGATGTGCTTTGTTTTGCAAAGACATGGCATACCTAAAATATTAAAGAGACGTGGACTGGTAAATATATGCCACTCATTGGGTCTCAACCGCTAACCCAAGTCCTGGAGTCCATTTAAGAGATGGAAGAATAATACATATATGTTATAACTCCTTGTAGTTTTTAAAACTGCATTTAGAATAGAGGGGGACATTACAGTTCCATATAGTTTAGATAATAGTGGGATTTACTGCGTCCAGAGGTGTTACAGAGTGAAAATATGCATTCATAAGAGGGTGATTAAAGGAAACTTGGAAACTAGGGAAGAGTATATATCATAACTGCTATGTCACGTAGAGTATATCTTACCAGCAACACATTCCAGTGTATCCTAGGAGTGCTATATTTAATGGACTGGAATTTGTGACT